TCCAAGCCGACCAAAGCAGTGTGATTGATTCTGGATGGCCTGACTATGTCTTTTCGCAGGCAGCTTTCGATTGCTCACGATAACATAATTTTCTCTTTTTTTTCAGGTCCGTATTTATTAGTAGATTTGTACATACATGTAACTCCACATTAATTGTTATGCGTCTCCCTTGAGCCTGAGATATACACAATTTAACACTGTCCTGCAAATTTCATAAATTCGGCACTCAGATTTGGCACCGTCGCTTTTGACTTGACCCCATGATTTGTGACAAGGAAAACTGTACTTTTGCTCCATTGAAGACTTCCCAAAAGCCATCGATACTATTAATCACCAAATATTGATAGGTTTTCTAAAGCATTATGGTACTCTCATGGATTGCCTTTGTCTTCGGTTGATACAAAACTTAATTTATATTCATTGACAATATTGGTCCTACTTTATTTTATATAATTTCGACATTGATTTATATCAATAACATTCACGCATCATAATTCTTTTTCAATGTTGGACTGTTGGACTATATGCCGACCACTCTAAATTATTACACACATTGGAGGATAACGCAAAAGTTATTGACATATTTAATAACGAATTGAAAGATGATGGCGTGATACCAACAAACCATAAATTCAAATATAACTTATTATTTAGCTATTAGTAGTGATAGGAAAACTAATTCCTAAAATCCTAAAAAAAAGTGTTCTGAATGATAACAATCTACCAATTTAAAAGGTTGACAATACGTCTTTAATATGTACAGCAGCAGCCAAAAGTCTTTTCTGAAAACAGTTTATTCCTGTAGTTAAAAGAAATTAGCAGATTGACTAGAAATTGTTGATGGTCTAGAAGTGTTATACATATCCAGCTTATCTTAACGACATATATCAATAATTTTTGCATTATCATCCTCAGTGAAAGGAGAGCATCCATCGGCACAAATATAAACAGTTTGGGCTTTCAAAGTATCATTTAACGGCAAAATCGCCGTTCGGTCACGTGACATGACGTAATCAACAAGCGATTACCACCGTTATTTAATAATTCAATCAGTCACACGTATAACACGCGACATAACTATTATACCTTAGTATTCATACATGTCAGAGCAATTGATTGCCGAATATGATGGTTCCAAATAATGGGATTCCATTGCACAAACAATTGGAAATATGATCATGTATAGTTTAAATTTTGGAACAGAATTTAAATTACTTATTCAAATATAAAAACGTAGACATTATTCTCAAATAACATTTTTAATTATTATGTAAAGTATTAACATTTAATTGTTGTAATACAATTTTTTGGTCCTGGTATCACAATTTGTATTCTTTGTACTTCTGATTTTATTTAATATGTTCAAAAGAACTGTTCACAATGACATTAATAATCATCTTAATATAAATACCCATGTGTAGCATGTACAGAACATGAAATAAAATATTTCATATGTAAATATTACTTGTCTATGGCATATCGACCTTAAACACGTGGGGCATCGAACTCAGGTCTGAGAAAGGAAAATCTCACTTCCTTTGTGCAACGTGGGTTATAATCCCCAGTAAAGTTAATCCAAAGCTTGCATATTAGGTAGATTTTAACATCTGAAACAGTTTTAGTTGTTAGCTGTTTACGCTAGTTAATATGTTTGATAAGTTATGCTGAACCATTGATTACAATTGTCACAATATATCGGGTTGACTAGGCTATATATAATTTTGACAAATTCATTTTAGCCAGTTTTGCCGCTCTCTGGAGAAAACGGTTTCAATTGCATGGACTGTATTTTTTCTGTATATAATTCAACCACAAATTCGACACATTATTTGTAGCTATACCCTAGCAGCCATTTTAGCTGATGAAACAGAAAAGAATGTAACATTAGTGTTGATACAGCTTTTATTTCACCTCCTCTAAGGTGTTAATTGGGT